ATCCGGAACAGAAGCCGACTGGAGTGGCGACTCCCCACAAACACCTCGAGAGGTTTACAGCAATCGACTGCCACGAGGAACAGGCACGCCACAAGGGAGCCTTCACAGGAGAGAATCTTCTCCACAAACGCCTCCCATGATTCCCGGCTTAGATTATTTGATGGAGGTTGGAGGATCCGGAACAGAAGCCGACTGGAGTGGCGAGTCCCTACAAACACCTCGAGAGGTTTACAGCAATCGACTGCCACGAGGAACAGGCACGCCTCAGGGGTACCTTCGCAGTCCTTGTGCATCCCGAAGAACCTCCCAAGCACTGGAAAATACCAGTGGTATGTGTGAGAATGGCGCAGAAAATGGAAATCAATGCAACAGTGCTTTGTGTTCATCAATCATTTGTGAGTGCCCCAGGATTCACTTGCAACGAGAAACTGGCCCTTCTCTCGATACCCTTTGCAGGCAAGAAGCGCCTCCCCAGCGGTCCCAATCTGTACAGAACCTTCCCTGGTGGCGCGATAGCACATTGACTGAGCCACTGACATGCAAACGCGAACCACATCTGCCATCAACCTCACCTATTCGCAATAGTGGCCCTGCACAAGGACCAGGCATGCTCAACGGATGCAGTCTCGACAGGGACCAACCTGCGCAAATATCTCACGAGGTTCGGAGCACCGAGGGTTCGATCGAGATGGATGTACCTGAAGCAGGAGCGCATAGTAGTCACAACATTCCGCAGTCTTCCTCACGGAGTTTCAAGAGTCGACCCCTAAACGGAGTTGGCACGCCTCAGGGAAATCTTCACAAATGGGAAGCCTCTCCGCAACCTCCCCAGGGCGTAGAAGACCTCCAAAGCACGAACAAAATGTGCGCGTCTCAAGTAGAATCCCCCAGGGACGACGGCAGTTCAAGCAGTTTCCTCGACGCCTTCACCGCTCGGTGTTTTGGGGAAGCGCGCATATCGGAGGCAGACCCCGATAGTGATTTTGAATTTCAGTTTGATACGGACGACGAACATGACAAGCCAACTCCCCCTGCTGACGATGCACCCACAAAGTCCACAACACCGCCACAGCAGCATCAACAAAGGACCTCAGATGGGCCCCAAATGGGCTATCAAACAAACACAATCGCAGAGACTGATAGTGCCGCCAATAAAAGCTGGACTACAGAAGCCGTCGACCCCCTTCATATTGTGAGACTCGGTGCAGTGTGCTCACTGTACAACCTCCGTATTATCCATCATGTTACCATGTGTAGGACACATCACAGCACGCATCCTTGAGTACTGTCTTTGCACAAAGACTGTTGCTGGTTTCCAATCTCTTTGTTCTGCAGGGAACCCAAGAGACTTCACTACCTGCTGCCGGCTCGCAAACAATCATTCAGGACAAACAGCAACAGGCGCCCCAGCAGAAGGCTGTTCCAAGTGGCGTATTACACACTTCAATAATTGGAAGCAACAGGTCTCAGCAGTGTATCCCTTTTGAGAATACAGGATTCTTCGACTTGTCGGGAATCTTGGTCCCAAAAGGTGAACCGGACTTCGGCGAGAATCTCTCAAGGGAGAGAGCAGAAAGTATTGACAATGTTTGGTTCCCTGTGACGCCTCACAAGAATGAAAGGCCGGGACGTCAAAGGCAGGAGGGCGTTTCAAGTACAGACAGCCTTTCAGCTCACTGTCTCCAAGGTCAGACTGCGATTGACAAACAGACATTGATGCCTTCTGTCAAGGCACAAATCGCTACTCCATTCCACTTCTCAAAACCTGCAGGGGCTGCAAGTGGATCTGCTGATTCCGATGTCTCTTTAGCAACGGTCTCAGAGAAACCTCCCTCATTTTCATTCTCTGGCACTGCAGCAAGGGACGCAGACACCAATTTACAAGACTCCAATACACAGGCGGGTGCCTGTCTAAAGAAACATATCTTCTCATCGTCAGCAGGTCCCTTGTCCCAGACCCCCACCTTAATGACTGATTCACATATTACTATGTTGTCGTCTTCACGGGCCCCTTCTAACGATCTACCAAGCTCTTTGGAAGTGACGCAGGGGAGCAGCGCTCACCTCGTACAACCTGCGGTTCCCAAGCCCCCCCAAATTGCGACGCACACTCCACAACGCTACGCCAGACCAACGCATCGCTCACTGTTCACATTCACTGAAAGTGACAAGCCACTCGGCCTGCTGTTCGCCATGGAACTTGCTCGTTCTAACCATAATATTTCACAGCAAGTTCACGTGGCTTCTACTGCACGTCGAAACGCTTCGTCGGATGTCCTGTCATCATTGTGGCTTGGCGACGACCCTGTACTAGAGTTAGTACGCAAGGCTCCGTTTGCTCACATTGGCTCGCACATCCTTGCGGAGAGCTCGAAACTTTCCGCTATGCTGCAGGGAAATACTTCTGAGATCCCATCAACTCGGGAGGAAGCTGTGTGTATGGCTCACGAATTGCCGGCAGCTGGCATTAACCAACTGCCAATGGGGGATCCTCAGGAAGAACGACAATCGCCAATACATGCTACGGCCGGTGGCATTCACATCCTACGCGACAACAACACAAATGACACTGTAAGGGCACTTCAGCCACAACCAGACTTTCTACAAGCTAAACAGACTTTATGCGTGTATGTGTGGAATATGAAATTGCTTCTTTTATGTTGAGTTGGTGCTTTTTGTCCATTTGCATCATCCTTCAATGTTGCGAGCTTAGCTGCTTCAGCATCCGAGTCAAACAATTTAGATCAACTGGCGTAGACGACGATATATCCATGTAGCTGTGTGTTCCTGTTCTCTTTAGTGTGGACACGCTTTGTGTGAACTTCGCCCAGAAGATGCGCTATACGGAGATGACTCCGATAGGCAACATGACATCTCATATATCGCACACCCACCGAAAACGAGATTTCCAGGACACCTAAGGAGCACCGTGAAGCCCGATGACAGTGCAGGCGGAGTTGTGGAAAACTCTAAAGAATCAGTAGGTTTACATCCGCCTTGTTTTGCAGAAAGGAGAAACCCGTCTCAGTTGCACATCGCTGCCCACCAGTTTGTTCCGAGCTTATCCAGTATACACAAACACGACAGGATCGTTGAATGCCCATTTTTGCAACTGAGTAATCATGTGGTTTTATTTCTATATTCGGTTTCCCGCCTCGTTTGTTGTTTATGTCCTCAGACACCCCTGGAAAAGAATATGGTCCCTGTAATTCCCCACCATACGATTATAGGCGGCTCCAGTACAATACTGCATGCACATTGCTAGCGTGACGAGCACTAACTATGTTTTCTTGTCACACTGAAGCTAGTCCACTTCTACAGTGACAAATCAAGCGTTGCCCTGCAGAGTTCTGGAGCAACTGTTACCCAATCAGTTGCATCGACATACAAGAATAGTATTCTGCATTGTTCAGAGGGTGGATGCTCATCTGACAACCCAAGTACACGCTCAATGCTTCTCCAAGAACACATGTGTACCGACAACATTTGCTTTTTTCAAGCAGCGCGCACTTTGCATCCTCCTAGGAAGGATGCTTCGGGCGTCTAGCGGCCCCAAGCTGTGTACATATGTTTCACACACCTTTGCCGTGACAGCTTGCTTCCTGTTACGATCTAAAGTTTTTGACATTACATGTAGCGTTTCGCTGCACTTGTATAGTTGAATTCACATCAAGTGAAGCAAAGCCCTGACCCGGTGGGGGAGGTGAATTTGAAGTAGATGACTACAAATGGCGTGGGCCGTCCAATCAAAAATGACTGAATATTTTGTAGTTAACTCGGAATTAAGAGTAGAAATACAATAGAGTGAAAGTGCCGCTCCGTACTCTGATATGATGAGAATGCATGCTCCGTAACAAGAGACAGGGTAACACCTATACACGGACATGCGCTGAATTAGACACGTGATGAGGTCAGAAAAGCAACAGAAGAGTGACAAGAAAACAATAACTTGATTACCGACGCTCGGTGGCGCTGCTGCTTCTAGATATACACGTTGTGCTCAATACAACTCAGTCCAACACCTTCGCATCGAGCTATATGGGTGGCGCATTGCGCTAAAGGAGTCGCAGCCTGCAGAAATGGCCCCCTAGCCAAGCGTTCAACTTAGACAATAAAGCCTTCAAATGCCAACCTATTAATTTGCAACTGCAGCTCAAGCAATTCGTTGGCAGAATTTGTCCAAGTCCTGCTG